TCGTAGTAGTAGCTGTAGTTGTAGTAGTAGTAGTAGTAGTAGTAGTAGTAGTAGTAGTAGTATTTTAGTGGTATTATCAGTAGTAGTAGTAGTAGTAGTAGTAGTAGCAGTAGCAGTAGTAGTATTAGTGGTATTATCAGTAGTAGTAGTAGTAGTAGTAGTAGTAGTAGTAGTAGTAGTATTGAAAGTAGTAGTAGGAGTAGTAGTAGCAGTAGTAGTAGTAGTAGTAGTAGCAGCAGCAGCAGTAGTTGTACGGAAAACAACATAAGACGGGCCTGCTTTGTGGGTTGAGGCACATGTCGACGTACTCTAACTAATACTCTGCGTACAACAGCCAGACCTCCCTCGATAAGCTAATATATCCAGGAGTGTATTTTCTTATTGTAAAGAGGTTCCCCAAGGGATCGTTTAGGTTCGGAGACTTGCAGGGAGTGAGAGAGGGAGGAAGGGAGTGGGGGGGGGAAATTAACAAAATAAATTGAAAACTATTATTCGTATATTTTCGTTTTTTTGCAGACCCCCCCCCCCCCCACCAGCCCAAATCTTTCGGCGCCCGTATTCTGTGGTACTCTCAAGTAGTAGTAGTAGTAGTAGTAGTAGTAGTAGTAGTAGTAGACGTCATGAGTCTCAAATCTGAGCCGTTGTCCGGAGAGCTGTGTGCCTGGCCGTATGTAGAGCCGCCGTCAGGAATCCCCATAGCTGGATGGCTCGTTTCCGAAATGCCACGAAGGTGCTGGGAACAGTGCCTGGGACCTTCCTGTGCTCATGCGGCCATTTTAGACGCTTTAGGTTCAGGGTTTAGTCTACGGCTAAAGCATTTGTACGATTGTGGCTGTAAGTACTTTGCAAGGACAGGAGATTGATTTATGTTTAGTAGGCTGAAGTTTGAGGTATGGATGTTGTCTCTTGACTTGTTGCTCTTTCCTACCCTCTGCAGGATTGCAGAAAAGCACCAGGATGACTGGTCCAGATGTTTGGGCCTGTGCAGGCATCGCACCAACATTTTCATGTAGTAGTAGCATTGATAGCAGGTAGCAATGGCTGGAATTGGCTTGTTGTAAAGACAGGCATTTAATATAAAAGGACAGGGGCAAATGATGGCATGCCGGGCAAAACCACAAATTGCAGTCCTCGCAAAGCACCTTTGAGTGGTTGCCTGAGTCGTCTTCCCCAGGCTCTTTTGCCTTTCTCAGGGACCTGTAAGGCTCGAGCTCTGCCGAACGATGCCTATGACGCTGAAGGCCGCGGATACTAGCTACTAGTTCAAAGCCAACGGAATTCTCTTGCAGCTACTGGAGGCAGAGAAGGCCAAAGGCCTTCGAACAGACGTCCCATGGTCCTGCAAGAGAGCCGAGGAATACGTGATCTATCTCGAGCCGGATGTGATTGTTCGGCTTCCTGGTCAAAAACCCTGGATCCCAAATTCTCATCCCACCTTTCTGGCAACCTTGGCGGGGCTGCAGCGTGGAAGAGCTTTTTTCAGTCATCAAGGCATGAAGAAGGTAGTCTTGCTAGGAGTGTTTAGCGTACGATAGCCAGAACCTCAGTGAACAAACATTAAGCAGGCCTTTCGCGCTTTTGCTTTTCAGCGCTGGTCGACCCGAAGCCACCTCCCACCGAGCGTCTGCACAACAGCCTGCGCGACGATGGTGAAGATTCTTCTTTCTGGTTAGAAATGTGCGGGGGGAGTAGACACCCCGCAATTGAGTAGGATGTGCTACCTGTACCTCCCTATGGCCCACTTGAGGAAGCATCATGTTCTGGAGCCAACCCATGATGCTGGCGGCATGTACGACGATTACAACCCATCCACACACAAGGAGAGGCTGGCAGACTGAGCAATTTTACAGCATTGAGTTGCCTACCCGTCCCGTCCCAACCCCTCCGCCTTGTGGTCGTCGGCGTCCTCCTCCTGCTCCCCCTCCCTGCTGATACTGCTTGTGCTGCAACCTCCGCATCTCAGCTGCCGTGACTGCTAGTGCTTACAGCAAGTTCTCTGAGCGCTGCAGCCTCTGCTGCTTGCATCGCTCCTCGTGCAGTTGCCGAATGGGGCTCCGTGGCCAATCCCATTCCGAGGAGACCCTCGAGTACTTGGGCAGGATGGGCCGCGAGCGAGATCCAAACTTCAATGCCCTCGGCTCGGGCTTTGGAATTGGAACCGTTTGCTTCAGACCTTCACGTGGGGCCTATTTACGCTGATCCGTTCATCCTCCTTAGACTCTTTAGACTGTCTGCGTATGTCTTCTGGACACCCGTCTCTTGGAGCTCGAAAGCCGAACCCCTGCCCCCTTTTCGTAAAACGGCTTCACATGGAAATTATTGGGGCTGAGAAATACTTTTGCTTTGCTTTGCCCTGAGCGGACCTGACAAGTACAGCGCTGCCACTGCGAGGTGAGCTCGAAAGCCGAACCCCTGCCCCCTAATCGTAAAACGGCTTCACGTGGGAAGTTATTGGGGCTGAGAACTACTTTTGCTTTGCTTTGCTTTGCCCTGAGCGGACCTGACAAGTACAGCCACAACTGCCACTACAAGTCCAATTCCACCTGCTACTGCGACGGCGACAGCGAATGCTGCTGCTGGTGTTGCCGCTGCTCCAACTCCCGCTCCCGCTCCGGCTCCCGCTGCTGCTCCTGCTCATGCTGCTGCTGCTGCTGCTGCTGCTATTGCTATTGATACTGCTACTGCTACAGCTATGGCTGCTGCTCCTCTTTCTGCTCCTCCCCCTACTACGACGACGACGATGACGACGGCTCCGACTGCCACTGCTGCTGCTAATGCTACAGCTACTGCCCCTGCCGCTGCTACTATTGCTGCTACTGTTGCTGCTGCTGCTGCTGCTGCTGCTGCAACCATCACCACTACCACTGCCACTACCGCCACCACCACCACTTGCTCCACACCCGCTCCAACTCCTACTCTCACTCCCCCATCCATTCCATTTCTTGGTTTCTCCCATACGGCAGTACTACTATACTATACTGATGTTCTACTGCTACTCCTGCTTGCTTGCTGCTGCTTTTTCTGCTTCTGCTCCTGATGCTTCTCCTTGTGGTGACCGTAACAGGAAAAGCCATAGCAAGAATTTCCAGAGAGTGACAGGAGAAGCAAGTAACCTAGGAAGCATCAATATCGGTCTTGTAGCCCGAGCATGGAGGGTCGCCAAGTGGGCAGAGGTGTCCTGGCCTCATTTTGGTTTGGCTGGCGGCTCCTACTTCAAGGCGCTTGGTATGGGTCAGGGTTGAGTTTGAGGTAGTTTTGGCTGCGGGGCCTGGATGTTCAGATTCTGTGTTTCGAGTTCAGTGCGTGTTTGGGAGCTAGCTGTTGTTCGGGCTGTTCTGGATGTTGCGCGCCTTTGGAGAGATCTGGTTTGTTTTCTTGTGCCTTGTGTACAAAGGCACTAAGAAAGGGCCGACTCCTCTCGCAAGGTGATGGTAAAGGAATCACGCCGTCGATTGGGAAGTGTTGGGGCGGGTCGCTGTAGGTGCAAGCTTGGGGTGACCTTCCAGTTGCCTGAAACCCTTGGAAGCCAGACCATAGAGCCCCGATTCCCCCTTGCAGGGCCCTGAACGGCCCCAAAACCAAAATCTGCCATGGGGAGTATCTTTCGGACGTTGGGTGTTCACCCAGTACAAGGGTTTGCCACTCTTGAATGCCGAGAACGTGTAGATCCTGCAAGCTCCCAGCGTTGCAATCTCAGTCGCGTGCTTGCACCCGCTTCAAAACACGCAGGCCGAGGCAATCCTCGATGCCTTCGACCCAAAGCGCCCTGAATCAATCAGAAGGGATCCGGCATTGACTGGTTTGCCTGGTCTGGTTTCCGACTGGAGGGAAGACATGCTATTAATCCGTCGTCCGAGATGAAGACGCTGTGCAAGATTTCACAGATCAGGTTTTCGTCGAGATCCGAACAGTCGTTACGCCAGCAGCTCTTTGCTCCCTAGGACTCCTCAGCCCCCCAACCCTTCGATTTCGTCTTTTCGCGGAGCTTCCAGATGGCAGAAACCTGCAAGTGTTTCAACCGGTGCAAAGCCAAACGACCAGCCTGGGTTGTCGAACTTCACTTGATAGACGCTGACAGTGGGACCCTACAGCCCGAACAACTTGCAGCCGAACGGCCTGCGATGCAGTAGTAGTAGTTGTCGTCGTCGTAGTAGTAGTAGTAGTAGTAGCAGCAGTAGGAGTAGCAGTCGTAGTCGTAGTCGTAGTCGTAGTAGTAGCCGCTAGAAGTAGTAGTAGTAGTAGTAGTAGTAGTAGTAGCAGCAGCAGCAGCAGCAGCAGCAGCAGCAGCAGCAGCAGCAGCACGCACAGTAGTAGCAGCAGCTGTAATAGCAGCAGTAGGAGTGGGAGTGGGGGTGGGGACGGGGGCCTCTGCAACTTCTGCAGCGGTCAC